AGATGATATCGTGCATAATTCATTCTATTAGTAGAAGTCCAAGTTCTTGTTAATGGATCATATAACTCAGCCTTATTAAGAGCACCACCACTAAATCCACCACTAACTAATACTTTTCCATTTGTTAGTACGGATGCTACGTGAAAATATCGGCCATTAACCATAGTATCAGTAATTGTCCAAGTTCCTGATGATAAATCATAGAATTCAGCTATATTTCGAGCACCATCGCTATCTCCGCCTGCAACTAACACTTTTCCATCTGTTAATATGGATGCTGTGTGATAACGCCGTGGATAATTCATGTTAGTAGTAGTTGTCCAAGTTCCTGTTGATGGATCATACAACTCAGTACTATTTAGGGCCCTAGCATTAGTATCTCCACCCGTGACTAACACTTTTCCATTTGTTAATAAGGATGATGTGTGATAATACCGTACATAATTCATGTTACCAGTAGTTGTCCAAGTTTCTGTCGATGGATCATACAACTCAGCAGTATTTAGGGCACTATCATTAGTTCCACCAGAAACTAACACTTTTCCGTTCGTTAATACAGTTGCTGTGTGATGATACCGTGCATAAGACATGTTACCAGTAGTTGTCCAAGTGTCTTTTGATGGATCATACAATTCGGCACTAGTTAGGGCACCACTCTTATATCCACCACTAACCAATACTTTTCCATTTCCCAATACGGATGCTGTGTGTCCCGATCGTGCTTGTTTCAAGTTACTAGTATTAGACCATCCTAGGCGAAAACATTTTAATGCATTCATTCTAAGAAGAAATGTATTATTGAAATTTTTGAATCGTCTAATCATATGCAAAAATTTTGGGATTTTATAAAATAAAAATTATTTCATATCATTAATACAACATGTTTTGAATTTCTGCAAAGCACTAAAAATCTCGAATTTATTGTAAAGAATCATTCGCAATGCGATACAACAGTAGGTGTCACAGTTTTGATTAACAGATAAAGTAGGTCTGTATTTTCTGTCTCATTACATTATTTATAAGATTAATGCACTTTCGACGATATGTAACTTCTATTGTTTATAATCGGTCCATGAAACTCCCTAGATAAAGAAGATATGGCGAGAAATAGTGTAAACCATACAGCTTCCGACGAAGTTACGCCATCAATTTCAAAACAGGCCCGTGTCATCGTTTCAAAGTAAGAGATAAGATAATTTAGCATGGCCCAATAGTACGGATTGTGTACCGGTGCGTCCGAAACTCAAATGAGACGAATCGAATAAAGCTTTTATATTTAAATTACCTGTTTTCCTCAAGTCATTTTCATTTACATCAATCGATATTAAAAGATTATTTCTCTCGAAAACTAAAAGATAGGTCTATACAACATTGTTAGTCAAACTGATTGTTGAAATATTGAAAAAGACTTTTTCTAATAAATCTGCACATCTAATTCTATGGTTATTTGATTTTAAAATTTGGCAAATTCTGCAGCAATGCGATAGGATTCTGAACGCCGCTCAATACTCATCGTCTTTGAATTCACATTGAATTCAAATAAAGGATTGTATATGTTACAAATTTGACTATATAGTGACATCAAACGAAAAGAAAGGGTGGATTTCGTTATATGCATATCAATAAAATGAAGTCAACTTTGATAGTCACGAAAAATGATTACTTTATTTTTTTGTCATGATAAAGATCGAATCATTAATGACAAGATCTCTAATCTTTGTAACGTAACCTTTATCTAGACAAAAAGTACCGTTGCATATAAAGTGGCAGCTTACTTGATTCCTGAGCGGTAGTCGTAGTTGTTGATACTAGTCTTGTTGTTGTAAATAGTGTTGTTGTTATTGTTGTCAGTGTTGATGTAGTCGTTATTGTTGTTAATAGTGATGTTGTCGTGGTAATGGTAGTGGTTTCTGACTTATTTGGAGCAAGAATGACGAATTTTAAGATCAGAGAGAAGGTAATTAAAATAACTATTAAAATGATAAGAGTGATGCCGATGACCTTAATTTGATGATGATGCCACCATTTGCTTGATCTATTATTTTCAGTAACGTTTACACCGTTTAACGGGTTATATTGCATATTATATTTGTTAAGAAACTTGAACTCAAAAAATGACGAGATATTATTCGAAACTACTTTATGTTTGTCTATGAATCTTACAGAAGTAACAAAAGATAAGTAATATGATCTTCAGCGCAAAAGGTATTACTATGCTCTTATCTTTATATAATAAATTTCACATGTGACCATGACAGCATTAAACTTTGCTGCACTTTTATGTTTTCTCAACTTAAATGCTTTATCTGAATGTTAGTTTTTATTCAGCATATGCTACAGTCCAAGGTATTTTCTTCTTTATAAATGCATTCTGAATGCTAATTCTTTGTCGATTTTATGAAACACGATCTAAAAGGAGTATTGACGTATTTAGGGGTAGAAATTTGCACTCACTACTCTCCGTCCCCTTACACTATAATCTGCAGTCTCACAGGCCATAATAGACATAGATCTAAATTATATCCGTGCCATCAGTCACAGCAACTATATCATGTTTCACATTTTGATCCCGTAGGGATTACGCTAGCAGGTTTTTTTAACATACAAGCGTCTCTCACTAGTGTTCCACAGATCGATGATTTTGGTCTCTGAACACGGTTGATGTCATTAATTGTTTCGCAAGAATCGTACACATGTGACACTAACTGTATCCGCGGCAAAAACCTATGTAAAAGAATCTCATGAGCGATTCTCCTACTTGGAACCAATCTCAGACGATAGATATATGTTCCGTTTCCTGAATATTCCTTTCTTTATCGACAGAATTCCGTCAGACTTCTGGTATTTTTCCTAGTCAGAAATTTATGAGAAGATCAGTCGAAAATGCCCGCACCCTTCAGAACTAATTCCGTTTGTGCGTATGATCTGATTTATGACATACAGTGTCACTCTGTATGAACAAACAATATTTCCATAAAAACATTTCATCATTATAAAAAATAAGACAGTCCTATTTCAAGGGTAACATTCGAAAATGTGACTCTGTATAGAACGTCAAACATTGTTCATAGTGTTAGCTTTTTGAAACGACTAATATAGTTCTGCATCGATCAGAGCCACACCGTCATATCCACCACTAACCAATACTTTTCCGTTTGTTAGCCCGGACGCTGTATGATAACATCGTGCACGACTCATGCGGTAAGTAATTGTCCAAGTTCTTGTTGATGGATCATACAATTCCGAGCTATTTAGGTAATCATAATTACCGTTCTTTCCACCAGCTACTAACACTTTTCCATCTGTTAATACGGATGCTGTATGTCCCTCTCGTGCATTTTTCATTCTACTAACAATGGTCCAAGTTTCTGTCGATGGATCATACAATTCAGCATCATTTAAAGTGCCAGCAAAATATCCACCAGTAACTAACACCTTTCCATCTGCTAGTAAAGATGCTGTGTGATAATATCGTTCGCTATTCATTGTACCAGTAATCGTCCAAGTTTCTGTGGATGGATCATATAACTCAGCACTATTTAAAGCATCACCATTCAATCCACCAGTAACTAATACTTTTCCATTGGTTAATACGGATGCTGTGTGATAAAACCGTGCATAATTCATGCTGCCAGTAGTTGCCCAAGTTCCTGTTACGGGATCATATAATTCAGAACTATTTAGAGCAAGAGGATGATTTCCACCAGTAACTAGCACTTTTCCATTTGTTAATAATGATGCTGTGTGCGAATTTCGAGAGTTACTCATGTTACCAGTGGTGGTCCAATTTCCTGTAATCGGGTCATACAATAATGCACTGTTTAGATAACTGTGACCGTCAGATCCTCCAGCTACTAACACTTTTCCATTCATTAAAATGGATGCTGTGTGACGATATCTTGCATTTTTCATGCTACTAGTAAATTTCCAAGTTCCTGTTGATAGATCATAGAACTCAGCAGTATTTCGATAACCACCATAATATCCACCAATAATTAACACATTTCCATTGGGAAGGACGGATGCTGTGTGGTAGTATCGTTCACTTAGCATTCTCCCACCATAAATCCATCCTAGACGAAAGAATTAGAATATATTCATTCTAAGAAGGATGTGTATTGTTGAATCCTTGAGATCTTCTAATCTATGGATGCAACATTGATGGTGAATCAGTGTAACGATACACTGATCGATTTGTAGTCCATTATCGTTAGGCATGCTTCAAACCAGGACTTTTCGGATTCCATTATTCGTGGATTCGGACATTCAAATAGTTTCAACTTTTGAAAGAGATCTGAAAGTAATAACTATAACTTTTGTATAGTTATCTTGAGGGTAGTCCTAGTCACATTTTGACGGTTTTGAGAAAAACAAAAAATACTAAGAAGTCGTTGGTCATAGGATATCACAGTAGTCTTCGTATTTATTTATAAAAAATCATATGCGTGTATAACAGATAAAGCAAATTTGTATTTTCTATCTGTTGTTACATTGTTTACAAGAAATAATGCACTCTCTATCATACACCACTTAGGTAAAAGGTGGTTGGTTCCGCGAAAATGGTGACAAATTTGCGCAGTTAAATCCAAGATAAGTGCTCGTATTCATTTCCGTCTTGTTTTCTTCAATTTACTTAGTCGAAAACAATGTCCGAATACAGTTGTCCATTTCAGCATCGTTCCACACTGAAAGATATGGTTTTATAATATGTTGTTTCTAGTCGTTCGATATTGTTACTCTCTAATTAAAAAATGGATAATAGCAAAATATCAATGCAAATATTATTGTGAAAGATAAATTTATAGGACTGTACTCGATTATAAATCACTATAATACTAGATGAAAGATGATTTAAATCATCTAAAAATCAATTTCAATCATATAGATCTTCTAAGCCGTCGAAAACCAACCCCAAATCCTGTTAAGTCTATGAAAAATCTGAGATGAGTTCCGAGAAGGTTTTTGCCATTGAACGATTTCTATTGAACATTGGTAATTTAACGATACTAGACGATTTTCTATGATTTTTGATATGTTTCAGGTGAGTTAAATAACGGTGTGAGTGGAGTGTGGGTGTCGGTTTGAGGTTTAAGAAAGAAACAACAGCCACAGCCACACACACTCTCGACAGCTTACCTGAGTGCTGAGCGGTGGTCGTAGTTGTTGATAGTAATGTTGTTGTTGTTATTGTTGTTAATGGTGATGTTGTCGTGGTAATAGTAGTGGTTTCTGACTTATTTGGAGCAAGAATGACGAATTTTAAGATCAGAGAGAAGGTAATTAAAATAACTATTAAAATGATAAGAGTGATGCCGATGACCTTAATTTGATGATGATGCCACCATTTGCTTGATCTATTATTTTCAGTGACAAGCTCGTCGTTTAACCGGTTGTATTGCATATTATGTTTGTTAAGAAACTTGAACTCAAAAAATGACGAGATATTATTCGAAACTACTTTATGTTTGTCTATGAATCTCACAGAAGCAACAAAAGATAAGTAATATTATCTCCAGCACAAAAGATATTACTATACTCTTACCTTTATATAATAAATTTTACATGTGACCATGATAGCATGAAACTTTACTTCACTTCTACGTTCTTTTCATATTAAACGTCCTTATCTTAATATTAGATTTTGACTCATTACAAATCACAATCCAAAGTATTATCCTATTTTCATGCATTGTAAACATCTACTCTTTGATGGGCTTTTCGCTTACAGGTGAATCTTTAAATGTAGCATGAAGTCTCTAAATTGATCGTTTCTAAAATGAAATGAAACATTTAAATCGATTGTGAAGTTACATACAAGATATCGTTGCGGCAATAATTCTGAATCCACATGGTCTAAAACGATATATAACGCATCTGTTCTATTTGAATGTTTAGTGCTCATGTATTGGTAGACGGTCAGTTTAAACATTGAAACTTGAAGTTCGACAAAAACAAGCACAAGCAGCGGTGACCCATTTCGTCCTTGCTTAAGGAACTGGTCAGACGGCTGCTTGTTCATATTGAGTAATCATACTTAACACTGTGTCTTCTCTATCTTTGATAGGGGTAGATTAAGCAGTTTCGTTATTATCATTCATTGATAATGATGAATTTGGATATATCGTCTGATGAGTCCCTTCAGCAAGGACGCAACCGCGGTCATAGCTGCTTGTTCATGATGAAAAATATCTTTTTAGGGAAGGACTTTCCAGACGCACTATACTTTATTTGATCTCAGAAGTACGCCGAAGTGACAAGAATTGAGGTATCTATGAACAACAAGATTGATAAATAAATTTTTGCTAAAATTGATCAAACTTGGAGACGATCGAGCAATTTTTTGAAAATCAGTGAGCAAAAAGATGGAAACAACCTTGAAATTTTGCTGGAAAAGAGTAAAAAGTTTTCAAGATTGAGAGATTTCCACCACTAGGGATACGTCTGTTAAGAAACAAAAGAAATAGTAATTTCTAGATGGGGCTAAAAGATGAATAAGGAAACGGCGCTTTTACATTAAGTCCTACACGAGGCGAGGCGACGCGGTGGCGAGTTCAAGGGCGAAAGGCAAGGCGAGGTAAAGTTGTAGTGAGCGAATCGCCTCGTGGCGAGACGGTGGCGAGGTGCGTTTCCGACCGACTCGCTGATCTCTGGTTGATATATTTGTTGAGATTTTAAACAATTACTACAGACGTATTTAACGGAATACATTGAAGAAGAGAATGACAGCATCATAAAAAAGAAAACGGGCGCTCGAACGTGACTAGTTTTGATACCTTTTGGTCATATAATACTACAATTGGTCTAGCACACATACTACGTACTTTATGTAAAAAAGATCAAAGATGTCGCTATAAATCATAAGGGCATCGCTAGTGAATTTAGTCTTGTCTCAGTTTCTTAGCTTTTTACATCGCAACACATAAATAAAAGCTTCTCACGAGGGAACACCACGAATGGATAAATCGCTTTTTACATTTTAGTGTTACCAATTTGTAGAGCTTGTTGAGTGATTAACTAAGATAATAATCATTCGGCCAACAACGCGTTTTAAGAGTAAATCTATATATGTAATGTTCAATGTCTATGTATCTAAGTGGCATCAAAGATCAACAGGAGAGGGCAGTAGCTAAACTTGTTGTTTTGACTTTGGCACATGCACAAAGACACTCGCCGCGTAATATCACTTTACATGGTGGGTGTCTTTGTATCTTTACCTAAGTCAAAACTCGAAGGTTAGCCACTACCCACTCCTGTTGACCTTTGACCTTTGACGCCATATAGATACATAGGCATTGAACATTACATATATAGGTTTACTCTTAAAACGCGTTGTTGGCCCGAATGATTATTATATTAGTTAATAACTCAACAAGCTCTACGAATTGACAACACTAAAATTTAAAAAGCGATTTATCAGTTCGTGGTGTTCCCTCGTCAGCGCAGCCCATTTGGGACTAAAATGTGGGGCTCACATATTCGTATCAGCTGGAAGCAATTTTACTGTTAATTTTTTAAATGTTATTACTAGTTTTATAGATATACGTTTGCAGCGGAGCTTTAGGTGAACTAGACGATTGAAAAACATAGCAATCATTTATTATGACACGCCTGTCTGTGATGGGGAGTGTCAGTAATGGGGAGGGGCGGAGACCTAGAAACTTCGACTTAAAGCGTTAACTCACTATTTTCTTCGAAAATATATATGAGTTCCACAAAACAGTAGAAGTTCGAATCTTCGAACTAAAATAATACCTATCTCATAGAATAAGTCTAAACCTTCGTGCGAATAAACATCGAATTCACAATTTAAGTGAGGCTAAGCCTATAGGCATCGAATTTTGGTGAGACTGAAGCCTCACCTAGCCTACACGATCCGCCGCCTATGTCTAGTGATACTATAGTAGACTTAAATATCAATACAAATTACTAATAGAATGATATTTTTTATAAAACTTTACCAATGGTAATTGAGAATAAGGAATGAAAATATTACCCAGCCGAGTAAACCATAACGAAAAATCGTTAAAACTCGTGGAAATTCTAATGAAAATACTCAGGGTCAACCAAAAGTTCTGGCCACAGTGTTTTAAATTTCATGAAATACTTACTATAGAAAGTTTTATTGCACGAATATATAGTAAGGGTGTGGGTGTGGGTGTGCGTGTGGATGTGGGTGTGGGTGTCGGTGTGGGTGTCGGTGTCGGTGTGGGTGTTGGGTATGGCTGTGGGTGTGGGTGTCGGTGTCGGTGTGGGTGTTGGGTATGGCTGTGGGTGTGGGTGATGAATAGAACAACAACAACACCCACCCACACCCACACCCCAAACTTCGTTCTGTATCTTTTTACAAGAAAAATGCAAACGCAATAAAACAAAATGAATCTTTTCAATTAGTAGCTAATGTTAACAAAATTACAAGTTTGACTATTTATAATAATCGGTCATGGGAACAAATTCAACTATTTATTGATTTGTGTCCTCGACTCAAACATATGAAGTTCAATTTTACAAGTGACTGCGGTCTAACTACTATAGAATCATTATTGATGAATATGCGTCATTTATGCTCATTATATCTTCTCAATACAAATCCAAAACTACACAAAATATTGAAGAATAAAATCGATTCTAAAAAGCTTCTAGATAATTATTCAATTAAATATGTTCAAAAACAATTGTATTTATGGTAGTAAAATTCATTTCTGTTACTTTTTTCCATTGACGATTATCATATAGAAAGAATATTCAATATAAACTAAATTTTTCACTCACCAGCTATTTATGAGAGTGCAGTGCTTTATTAAGTAAAACTTCATTTAAATAATATTTCAACTACAATCTGATGCCAATGTAAACTATGCTTATATTGGCGAACAAACATAAAAGTTACATCAAATAGATCTAATAGACAATCGAATATAGGTGTGAGGTGCATGAGTAGATTCTATCTTGATCTATACCTAGAGCGATACACACGTTACATGTACATTTTACTGTCATATGATGATCGATCAAAACTCTAAATGATTGGCAGTACGTATTAACAATCATGATGCAATCAGTTAGTCTTTGTATTTACTTTATTTGTGCATATCTTCTTTAAGTCAAGTCTGTACATATTAATTCTTAAAATCTTCTTCATATAAATTCTAACGGCATACGAAATGTAACAAAAATATTTGCTTACACATTCCAAATTAATTTATGTTCTTATATTTATGATAAGATCTATCGAAGTAAAATATACAACAGATTTAATAAAAAATTTCCATAAATATATTATTTCTTTGCCAAAGAAACAAATTCATTCGATAGCACATTTCATGTTAATTCATGTGTTTTTCTTTATAAATGTCTATCTACGTTTTAAACAACACTATCAGATATTTATTTTCTAAATCAATAAACAAACAAAGAAAAACAATTAGACAAACAATCTCTTTAGGAGAAACGACTAAAATTTCATGATAATATAAAATTGTGAAATTCTTTTTTTTTTAAACAAATGAAACAAATTCAGAAATTATTTTTCTATATAAATTTCATTTAATGCTTGTATATTACTTGAGCTAAATTGAGTAATACGAAAGTTATAAATTCCCGACTTTTTATATTCACTTTATGAATAATATGGTGTGGGTGTCTTTTCTGCTATCAACATCCACACATCCACACCCGAGATTACTGACAAAGATGAAAGAATAATTGAATGAAGAGAGAACGATATCAACACGAACGATAAAGATTTAGTTAGTCATTGATCGATGCATTGATCACCATAAAATACGATATTGGAAGCCACAAGAAACATTTTTAATTTCCCAGAATCATGTAAGAAACGACGATATCTAAATAGAGATAAATGTTTCGATATAGTTTTTGTAGTTCCAGTAGTTCTAATAGACCAGAAAGCATCGATACTGATTACGACACTGGAAAAATCCTCGAAATTTTGTATCATTAATGACCTCCTATTTTGGTAATTGTGGTATTAAAGATGATGACAACAATTCTAGCTTTCATTATCTAGATATCCGTTGTCTTGTCAGTTGAAACATGATGACGTGATACTGTCGTTTCACAATGTTCAAATTTTGTATCAACAGATCGCCACTTCCTACCGTCTCTCCTCGCTTCTAACACACTCGATAAGGTACCTAAAAGAGGGCAAGTTACCGCGATATCGACGTTTGTTAAAATGAATGAGTGTAACGAGACGAGCTGTATATATAGAAGAAGAGAAAAATTGATCAGTGCTAGCAAGATGAAGAAAGAAAAATCCTTTATCGTGAAGAACAGAAGGAAAAAATACATGCTTCGCTGGATAAGAGGAAATAAAAAACATACATTACGTTCCTCTCCCCCTTTGAAACACTGCCCGTGTGATCTTTGAATAGTGTATCGGTGTGAGCGTGTTAAGCTACCATAATATCAATACTTCACCTAAGTAACTAGGATCATCAGATGGCACTTGTAACGAAATAAATTCAAAAGAATTTTTTCGAAACAATGTTAAATCTTTACTGTTACTCGAAAGTAGCGAACGATTTTAGTTCGCAGTTGCGTTTAGAAGAACATACCAAGATCGGTTTCGATCTTGCGCAAGGGTCTAATCAAGGGGTTTCAAAACATCTTAATTGATTACAAAAATCAATCGAAATATCTTCTACACAGTCCTATGAAAACAAGTTTTTGAGCGTGGGTGTGAATGTAGATATGGGTGTTGATAACTACTTTGCCCATACACTCACCCACACCCGCAAGAAAATCTAGACTAGTGTGCGGTTTCTTCAACATATTCAATCTAATTAGAGAGTAAAAAGTCTTACTCTATTTTGCTAAAATTACAAAATGAAATTGAAATACAAGACATAAATGATGATAACTGTGCACAAGGATTCGTTTTTGAATTTATAAGACTGTAAACATAATTAGAAATTCTAGTTTGAAACTATATTTTGATTGTTTTAATACTATAATTACATTTCAGAGAAGCGACAAAAATTCTTTCTTACACTTTTATCATTTAAACTAATTTGTACTCAATCATTACATGAGACTATAATAATTCGTCGTATGCACTGTTCTAGATGCTGTTTAGTCATATGCGAAGATTTTTTGACAAAAAAAGATTGGACAAGACCCTAAATTAAAAGAAATGATAATTCTACTAGCAGTATAACATTGAATATTTAATTGTAATTATTCATGGGATATTATTAACAAATATCATAGAACATGACTTTTATCCTAATCAGTTTTATAGCAAACAGAGAAACAAATATTTTTCTCTGCATATTTCTAATAAGTATTAATTAAGTTCAACTTTTCATATCATCAATAGAAAGAATAGGAAATTTCAAAGAATTATGTCGTTCAACTGTTGAAAGCTACATGCTTTTCAAATAGTTCATTAGTTTTTTTTCTTGTAAGAAATAAGAATATGTCAAATAGAGTAGTGATATTTACTACCATATTAGTAAAATAAGGGCGAAAACTCCAACTAAAAAAAGCAAGATATTTAAAAAAAATTTCTTGATTGTTATTTCACGACATCCCAACTAGTGCCAGTGGCCAGAAGAGGAAAAGGTAGACGTCGACATTGAAATTCTCTAAGCTCTTTAAATAACAGCTTTTTTCTTCCTTGAATAAATATCAATATCAAAAAACGATATATTTCCATCAATTGTACAGATTACTTCTATTTGTTCTTGATCAACCAATGATATTTCAAGGAACACGTAGGTAAAATTCAGATGTTTCACTTTTGTGACTAATTTCAATAATAAAACATAAATGAAATTCATAATGATGTACTGCTGAATATATTTTTTTTGTTGAGTAATACAATGAATCTATTAATTTTTTTATGAGTAATTCTAATATGAATAAAAGCATTTGTCATAATGGCAAATGTTTGTTTTTATTTCAATAAACTGCTTAAATTTCTTTATTTACTATTCTTTAAAAGAATGAATTGACCTTGAAAGAAAAATAACATATTTTAATGAGCTTATTCATCTGTTTGATTCGAAAATATCGAATTCTTTTCTAAGGACATTTATTTCTCGTTATTAAAAATAAATGCTTTTTTTGGGCTAGAAGAAAATATCGAGAACGATTAAACAGGGATGACCCGCCCGTGGGATTGCGGGGGTTGTCACAACTTCCCAATCTTGAAAAATTTTCGTTTTTTCATGGTAAAATCCAAAACTTTTCTTGTGTTCCGTCAAAAAAAAAATAATGTTACAACCCCCCCAATTTGGTTGATTCGGGCCATCCCTACGATTAAAAAAAAGTAAAAATAAGCACTGATTCATCGTTACTCTTGAGAAAGAAAGAAAGAACAAGAGCGGTACCTCGATATGCTAAATGAGTGTTTTTCAAGAATATTTCGCAATCCATAGAAATTCTTTTACTTATATATAAAAGAATGTGTTTAGTTTTTATTTGTTTCGACTTTTAATTGAGAAAAATGTCTTCAATAAATCAATATGAATTATTGAAAACAAATGGTTCATGGAAAGATCGGCTTAAATATGTTTTATCATTAACTGATAAAAATGATATAGAAAAACATTTAAAAGAATCATCAATATCATCTTATGATGATTTTAAAATGTTGAGTTTTTTATCATTATCAATTAAAAATGAGAAAAATTTATTCGACATGTTTAAAAATAATTCATTACCAACAAAACAACGAGCTACCGCGAGTCAACGTTGGATTCAACTTCAAAAAGATCCAAAACAAATTCATAATTTTATTGTTGAATCAATCAATGATAAAAATCTTCCACGATAGTGGGTGTCTTTTTTTGTGTTGAAAATAATTAAATATGTTTTTTATTTTCATTTAGTTTAAAACATCAAATATTAAAAGATCTTCATCGAATTGATTGTTTAAAAAAATCGTCATCATTTTTTTATGATCTTGCATGTCATTTAACAGAATCAAATAACCATGAACAATATAATATAGATGCCTATTTATTACCATTTTGTAAATACGATCAAATAATTGATCTTTTATCACGATGGTCATTAAAACGTTTTGAACAAATTGATTTGACATCAGCATTTTATTGTAAATTAATTCGTTATCAACCTCTTATTATTATTCATTTAATGAAAGCTGATTTAAATGAATATAAAAATGATTATGAAAAATTTTCAAATTATTTTAACAAAAAATATAAAACATTTGATTTAATTGCAAAAAAAGAACCAAAAGAATTGCTGAATTTAACAATTGAATATTTAAATCAATTAGAAAAACATAAAAGATTTTTACCTTATTTTATTCATTGCAACGATACATACTTTTTTGAAAAATGTCCAGAAGAAATGATTCAAATAATAACAATTATTGCTTCAAATCAACCAGGTTTTTAATTTAATTTATTATAAAATTATTTATTTTTTTTTTTTATATAGGTCAAATGAAATATACATCAAGCTGGAATAATGAAGGATATGATTTTAGTTCACTTCAAATACCTCGTTCATTTTCTATTGAAAATTATGTTCGTTTATTTCTTGCTTTATATGATACATGTAGATGGTCATCAAATTATACGATTGGTATATTTCAATATATTTTACAAAGTCCAGAACAACCATTAACTCTTAATAGATTAAAAAAACAAAAAAAATGGTTAATTGATATTGTCGTTGAAAAACATATTGGAAAAGAATTATTTTTAAGAAAATTATTAAAAGAAGGAAATAAAGATACTCTTCAACTATTTCAAATGTATCCAGACTTTACGACACCACTTTCTATTCATATATTATCACAATCTGAACGTGATATAGCAGTTGATGATAAAGAACGTTTATCATTTCTTCGTTATCAACTAATGACACAAGAAACTTTTGATAAATTTTTATCCTTATTTAAAAAAACAGGTTCAGATGTTAATCAACGTGTTATAAATTATCAACTTTTGCTTGAATGTGCTATATCAACAAATGAACAATATGTTAAAATTGTTCTTGAATGGATCGAAAAAAGATTTACTAATGAACAATTAAATGTTATTGAAAGTTTCTTAAGTAAACTAACTTCATATAGTATGCGATTTAATTTAGAATATTTATCAAATAATATTAATTCAATTCAAACTATTATTGATATTGCTATTAATCATTTACAACAATCATCATATACTTTACAAATTATTGTAAATTATGGAATGTTTTTACTTCGATCTGTTGAACAACATCCAAATAAACAACGAAAAGAAATCATTCAACAATTTGCTAAGAAAATTATCAAACAGTAAGAATATTTTGTTTTATACAAGTCAAACAAAAATATTATTGAAATGATTGTTCTCCACAAATTTCTATAGCTAACCGATGTCACAGGAGAGCTGTAAATAGAAGTTTTCATGGACCTTGACCCAAACTCGTAGCTCTAATAAGATTTGCTCAGTTTTTTCGGTTCTCTTATCTCTACTCGGTATTAGCACAAACTTTCACAATTGGAAAGAATGTACCAAAATATATGTCTTCTTGATAAATAACAAACAATAATCTCACCTATTTTAAAGTTTTTACTCTTTGAATACGTTTAGTTTTAATGTATCAAAAAATATAATTCAATATCAATTGTACTCGCACTTGTAACAACATCCATGTTACTGCTCGAGAAAATGATTGAAATTTCTTCTTACATTGCTCGAACGTTCGTTAACTTAAGGGGGGAGTCGCGGTTCCTACTTGCTCAATTCAATAGTCTCATTAGATAGAGCATAGTTTTTTACATATATTCCCGAATTTTTACGTTAGTTGAATATAGCTAGCCCGAGTTATAGCCATGACAAGATCAGATTTTTGACCAAAAATTTGCCTCTGGGTGTGTCTAGTCTTTGACCAGTTTCAGACATAAAGTAACAACAAAGTACAACTTTTTATGCATGAATCGATAGAGAATTCTTTCCTCTATTCGATACATATTGAACAAGCTTGAGAAAAGAATCCTATCGTATCATTTGATGGTATATACCTTGTTGCAGACAGCTCTTTTTTGCACTGCAGCGGCTTCCAGTCGTGTTTCCATAATCAAGATTATGCTGAAAAGTATTTTTTTATATATGATTCGATAGAGAATTTCAAGCGCCACAATTTTTCTCTGAACCATATTTTCTGATTTTGCTTCTTTGAAAAGGCAGAAACCATATTTCATGACCACCCTACTGTAGACCATCCATGAAACTAACCATGTTTGCCTAGACAAAGTCTTTCGATTTTTAAGTTTTCTATCTCAAATGAAAGGTCTAGTCAAGTTACACTCAAACCCAAAATATGAGGTCGTTTGTTTTTGTTAATGAGAAATGCGAGCCGAAACACTGATTCCACATCCATTTTCCTAGTAAAAACGTACACAAAGTCGGGTGTGTTCAGTATTTGGTCTATATCTCAAGTGTAGTTCAACGTTTTTAGCTCAGGCTGGTCTCAATCGTTAGAGCTTTTCATAGGCTACAAGCTTACTCTAAACAATCGATCCATATGCTGAATGTAAGAACGTTATCTGCTAGATACCCTAAAAAGACGAAAAAGCTAGTGGTTCAAAATAGTGATGTCTCACCCTTTGGGATTCGTTCAAAGAGGCCATGAATCGATTGTTTAGAGTAAGTTTGTAGCCTATGAAGAGCTCTAACGATTGAGACCAGCCCGAGCTAAAAAGGTTGAACTACACTTGAGATATAGACCAAATACTGAACACACCCTATTTTCTCTACGTTTTTACTAGGAAAATGGGTGTGAAATCAGTGTTTCGGCTCGCATTTCTCATTAACAAAAACAAACGACCTCATATTTTGGATTTGAGTGTAACTTGACTAGACCTTTCATTTGAGATAGAAAACTTAAAAATCGAAAGACTTTGTCTAGGCAAACATGGTTAGTTTCATGGATGGTCTACAGTAGGGTGGTCATGAAATATGATTTCTGCCTTTTCAAAGAAGCAAAATCGGAAAATATGGTCCAAAGAAAAATTGTAGCGCTTGAAATTCTCTATCGAATCATATATAAGAAAATACTTTTCAGCATAATCTTGATTATGAAAACACGACTGGAAGCCGCTGCAGTGCAAAAAAGAGCTGTCTGCAACAAGGTATTTACTATCAAATGATACGATAGGATTCTTTTTTCAAGCTTGTTCAATATGTATCGGATAGAGGAAAGAATTCTCTATCGATTCATGCATAAAAAGTTGTACTTTGTTGTTACTTTATGTCTGAAACTGGTCAAAGACTAGACACACCCAGAGGCAAATTTTTGGTCAAAAATCTGATCTTGTCATGGCTATAACTCGGGCTAGTTATATTCAAATAACGTAAAAATTCGGGAATATATGTAAAAAACTATGCTCTATCTAATGAGACTATTGAATCGAGAAAGTAGGAACCGCGACCCCCCGCTTAAGTATTATGTTCAAGAATTTTCCTATCAAACATATTATCGTATTATTTAAAAAAAAACAGATTTCTTTTGGTTTTAAAAAATCAGAAATTTGAAGTATTGCATAAAATTGAATAAAGTGGATAAAAGTTTTAATATGATTCACTCATTTAATTTAGATGTTTTTCAACGAGTGATAATATTAGACCTGATGGAACAACAATAAGTAAAACATATCCAGAAGCACGTTCTATATTGGCTGATATTCTTATAACAGATTTATTTCCAAAACTTATTTCCAAAACCATGTTAGATGAATTAAGTAATTCATTGGAATCATATATAGAAGAAGCTTGGCATTTACCACAAATGGATTCATTTATTAATACATTTTTCACTCAATCTCTTTCGTCATCAACAAAACTTCAATCATCATTTCAAATTGATGCACATTCTTCGATGATTTCATTTTATTTAAAAAATAAATCAACTCGATTCGAAAGAGTTAATCAATTAATAAATCAAATGGATAAAATATTTTTTATTGATACAAATGTTCAACGAATTGCTTTACATTCTCAAAAATATCAACAATTGATAGATGAATTAATTCAAGATAATAAATGTCTTACTATAGATAAATTAACAAATGAACAATGTGAACTTTCAACAATATTAAGTTCTACAACAAAAAATCTTAAACTACCTGGATTACATATTAATATATTGAGTAGTTGTTATTATCTATTGACTGGAAAACAACAACAACATATAACTCATATTATTCTAAACGATTATTTACGAGTGATTAATTTAATAAAACAAAAAATTTCAATTGTCTCCTTTTGTTTTTGTTCTAGGATAAAGACGTATCTAATTTAGATAAATTAAAATCATTACGTATTCTTCGTTCTCTATCATCAACATATAACGAAACTCTTGAGTGGCTTCAAAAAAATCAAGATTCTCAATTAGTAATAAAGTCTTCTGATGAAAAATCTCGTCCGCGAAGTCGCGCTGCTGCTATTCACCCACTTGATGATATAATTCTATGTCTACCAGCTACATTTGATTTAACTCCAGAAAATTTACTAAAACATTTTGATCTATTAAAAACAAGGTTAAATGCATCAAATGCAAAATTTATTAGTGATGCTATGCTAAGTATTTCAATTAAAATAAGTGATGAAATTTTCTTAAAATCTTATCTTGAATTTATTCGTAATGAACAATTTCAAAAATTTGGTAAATTAAATAATAAATCATTTATTATAAAATATGTTTGTATATTTAGGTATAACAGCAAATAAAGAACTTCTTCGTTTATTAATTCAATATGTATCTGATACAAGTTTAATAACAACTGTTATAAAACCTTTATGGGATAGTCATCCTCATCAAGATATTCGTGCATGTCTTATTTTAATTCTACTTCATTTTATTGGTAAATCACGTTCCAATGATGATAATAATATTATTTGGAACATTCTTGAACAAGCTGCATATGATGAATATCTTCCTGTGGTAGAAACTTTATTTGTTAGTCATCGAGGATATTCTCGTTGGCCATTATCAAAATTGAAATATTCATCAACAAATTTATTTGAAACATTTGTTAATCAAATACAATTTAAAATATTAGATCATCCAACATTATTAGAAGCACGTATATATGCATGGTCATATCTTGAATATGAATATTGTCATACGAATGAATTAATTAACAAAGCTCAAAATTTATGTATCCGATTTGATAAAGATGGCAATGTTTTATGGATAAACGCTTTTCAAAAAATTATTTTATTTTATAAACAACGAAAGATGTAAGTTGAGCTAAAAAAAACATAACTGTAATAATTATGTTATTTTTTTCTGAATAGATCGTCCTTAAATATAGTTATTGATATTATTAAAAAAATTATGTCATACAGAGATGATGTCGATGCAAAACAAAATGCCATTAATAATCAACATGATTTACCAGTTTATCGTCGTATTCAAACTATTCTAAGCAATCTTATATCTAAGATTAATGAATTTGATAATGAGAAAAAAATTCATTTTCGTTCGCTTATTCCAATTTTTCTTCAATTTGATAAAATATTGGCTCCTCTTATTGGAAAATTATTAATAAAAATCGCTCAAAATAAAGAAGATATTGAAGATGCATTAAAAATTCTTCAAGATAATTTACCTGAAATTTATTTTGAAAGAATATTAACAGAACTATCAAGTTTTCTTCAAAAGGAAGATTATTGCCATTTTATTAAACATTTAAGTGTTGATGAAAAACTTGATTTAGCCCAATGGTTTATTATGGAAAAAAATCGACCATTATTCGTTTTTGATTTTCTTCAAGATTATGTATTTAATCAAGCTTCTATTGATCGTGAAAAATGTCAAAATCTTCTTCGATATTTACGACAATCGGAAAATTTAGCTGTAAGAGAGAAAGCCATAAATTATACTGTAGCTTGGAGAGATGATGATGATGTCGACAATAATGATTAAATGAGCGTGTCCGATCCTGAGATGTCTTAATAAAAGATTGATATTAAATATGGAACTGACAAAATAAATAATTATGTTTTTTTTCTTCATTAGAATTTAACATTTTTTTTAAATCATTAAAACAATTGAGTATTTCTTTCTCTTTTTTAAAAGTTCTAAATATCAATATTGCTTACTTTTAAGGGCCCCCCCCCCCTCAGAAAATCGAGTTTTTCAGGGAAATATGGAAGTTGAGTTTTTATTATAGGAAGATGCAGCGAAGCTTCCTCTATCAGAATATCTATAGATTTTTTGAAAATGATCAGATTTTCAAAGACTTACCACATGAAACTTAAAATCTACTACCATGTTTTCGGAGAAATTTCGTAGTTTTAAAGGTTTTCAGTTTTAGAAAATTTGCGTTCGGAATATTTTTATATATTAAGCAGCATGTCAGATGACGTTAGTTTACTGCATCAGTTACACGCTTTTAAAAAGTTCTATGAAATATATTGGAAATATGCTATTTTAATGTGTTTTTTTCGAATTTGAACGAAAAACTCATTTCTAAAACTTCTTTAACGTTTTTCTCAGAACATAGTTTCCATTCAGAAAAATCGAAATAACTTTCGTTCGGCTCGAGCTATATCCAATATTTTTTTTTTGTTTTAAAGATCTCAATGAGAGTAAACTTTTGTCCGACCAGTTTTTTTAAAGTCGATTCCTGCGATGAGAAAAGTGGAATTTACTGTCTTTAGATTACCATTTTTTATGCTGATTTTTAGACCCTTCCACTAAAATACGCATAAAAGATCAATAAGATTGAATTTGAAAATTCTGTTCGGACAAAAGTTGCGTACTGACATTAGCTTTAATTTGAGACCAGCCCGAGCTCGATACCTCGTGCTATGACGAAGTTATATCGATTCTCCTGAAGGCCAAAAATGACCTATGAATCAGCTGGAACTCCGATCTAGTACGACCAATCGAGCTGAAATTTTTATCGGAAGCGTATCTCTCCAGGATCACTCATTCCGGAAAATTTCAGCGCAAAAGGGCCATTCTAAGTGGAAAATCATTTCTAAGGGG